CGCCCCCCCCCCTCAAACTACAAAATTCTCGATTTTAAACTGATACCCACCGCTTCATTCCAAAATACATATCATGTATTATAAAAAAAACTGTGGCAATTCTATACTAATCGGCACTTTTTTGTGCCATTCAATGGATTTGAACTCAGAACAAAACTAATATGAACTAATCAATATTGAATGATTATATCGATTAAAATTTCGCTCAATTTCAGAAAAAAAACAAACCAAGTTGAATTGCATGCGAAACTGTCTATATGAGTCATAAACAAACTTGTTCAATGTTGTTCCCCAAGTGCGTAAAAGACTGGTTAAATGACTAGTCTTTTTTCTAGTCGTGTCGCCCGTCTCGACTAGTCTTTGTCTCAAAAAAGTCTTCGTCTGGGACTAGTCCGAGGTTTTGACCGTTATGCATATGCATCCTAGTACTCTGATTGACGACTAGTCATAAAATCTAATAAGAGTAGTCGTGACGAGTGTCTCTGTCGCTCGTCCGAAAATGGTTTATGAATGAAAAATTAAGAGCGTCCGGGACGGGTATACAACCAGTTGTAGCCTTATATAGTAGACGAGTCTGGACTAGTCTGAATGGAAAAATGTAAGGATGAAGATTAGATTCGAACATGTGTACAATGTAACAATTACCCATCGCCCGAACCATTGAGCCATATGACCGAGAAGTCATATTCCGCACACTCACGATCATTCTAAGATGTTATTTAATACAATTTTTACTCCAAATTTTTAATTTTATGTATCAATAAAAATTATCTTCTACCGAAACGAAATTACTTTAGATAGCATTAAATAAAAATAAATTAAGAAGATTTCATAATTTTTTCGACAAATATATTTTGATTTATAAGCAAGTGCGATTAATTAGTTGGGCTTTAAAAACATTAATTTGAGTATAAAAATAAAATTTATTTATTCCGGAAAGAAACTAGATTTTTTCATACTATTTTAATTTAATTTCATGCTCAAATCTCTATACATTCATCTAATAAATAAATTATCTTAGCTTAATTTAGAATTATTACAATTGATATTTAACATAAACTAACATTATATTTTGATATGAAACGATTTAGGTGCTTCTCAATTTTTTTTAATTACTATCTATCAGAATTCAAAAAAATATAAATTAGCACTCCTAGATGCGAGATGAATTCTGTTGTTAGTACTAACCCATGCTATTTTATGTTTTGATACACTCTTAAACTTTTAGCATTAGCTAATGCAAAATAAAATAAAATATATCAAGACAGGGATGTACGCAATATATTAAATCTTTTTGAATGCACTATTGATTATAGCAGACTCTCTAGTTGTCCTTTTAGCTAGAAAAAAATTCGATGAGAATTGAGTAAAATAAACACTTCTTAAAAACGGACTAGTCATGAGGTGTCCAAAAGACGTTTCAGACTAGACTTGACGGATGCTGTGGGCATTTCTGACTAGTCGTGTCGGCAGTCTCCCTTCATTTTTTGCTTACTTGGGTCATTAGGTTTCGCTTCGTTCATATAATTGAACAATAACATCAAAAATACACGAAAAAATGGTCACTTTTTGATAGTTTGTCAAGATATGTATTTTGATGAAAACATTGTTAAGGGGGTTGAAGTTTTCACTGTAGAAATATTTCATTGAGTAGTTACTTTTGATGGCTCATTACGCTCAGGATACACGTATAAAAAATTATAGAAGAGTTAGAGTGAAGTCTTATTGAAAAATGCAGAAAAATAATCCTGTTNTCAATCTACATATGGCTTTATGCAATTGCTTTTGTGCAACTGCAGACAGTCTCATTATCTGGTAAGTCTTACATTCAAATCTTTTACAGTAAATCTACGTCGAACAGGTATGTTTTTCGTTTTCAAATAAAAAGAAAGTGGCCCTACTATTCATTTATGAATGTTTACAAGTTACGCATCAATTATCATCTTGACTATACCATTGAATCTATTTGCCCATTCCTTGCGTATCCATGCTACGTGGCTGTGATAAGACTAATCTTCTCATCTCCATCGAGATAGAAAGATTCTTTTGAAGAATATCAGTTATTGTTCTTGTAGAATGAAAACAGTCCCTCTAGATTGTATACTACTGAATGGAGCGTGTCGGCTTTATTCGATGATAATTGCAATCAACATAGGAAAGATACTAGGGCCTCGAGTTTATAGTTGTTAGAAAAATTTGGATATTGGTGAAAATAAACATAACTATCTTCTGCCACAAAATCAACAGACATCAACTGTGAATTCTAATTACTGTTCACCACCCACCAAGAGAAAGTTGATATAAATCATTGCCAAAGACTCGTAAGTATTGCGTCTCCATCAAAATAATCAATTGCAATTTCAAATTGAAGAAAAAACTTATCAGTATAGCTGTATTCGAGCTGAAATATGGAGCTCATAAGTATTATTTATATTCATTGAGCTGATTTCGAATAGCTTAAGTAAAAATTCTTCCTTGAAAGTCTGATTGATTTCTATAATTTATAATGAGCTGTCCTTAAGTTTCATTTTTTTGAGTACTCTCTGATGGATACAAAAAGTAACAGTAGCGTAATTATAAGTGAGAGAGAACAAGGATGAAACAGTAAAAATTTCGCTGTTAAATTATCATGCATCACAATTTTCGAATATATATATGCCATGGTTATTGTAATACTATATATTCCTTCCTGTACCAATGGTTTCGCTACTGGAACAAGGGAGTTTTCACATGTATTCATCAATAAATAATATTATATTTTCCCTTTTATGAAGCTTGAGTGTTTTTAGCAATATAGTATCTGGTATAAAGTCAGAGTGCCTGACATAAGAATTATTCATGTTATGAATATTCTTGAATTGCTGAAGATGTAGACTAATCAAGAAGGAAAGGTGAATCCTGTATCTCGAATACGTGAATAGCGGCCAGATACCTAAAATACGATGGTAATTCGATTGACCTTTTCCTTTTTATCAAAAATTGTCGGCCTAAAATAAATTGATAAAAAAATGAAAAGCGTAGTGATATCGTTCTATGTGATAGTCTACATAAGTCAGCAATGAACTTTTTCAATTATAATCGATACATGTTACTTTATTCATATAATTGAATAATAACATCA